TTTATGGCCCTATGTGTGCAAACCCTTCTCCTTCTTTTTTCCCCAACTCCCTGTGCTTCAGCTGAAGCAGGAATGAAGAGCCAAATGCATTTTTGCAGTCTGGTTTCTTTACAGAATCATGGAATAGTTAAGGCTGGGAAAAACCTTTCAGGTCAAGTCCAACCATCAACCCAGCATCACCACCATGTTCACCAATCAACTGTGTTCTCAAGTGCCATATCCACGTGGTTTTTTAACAATTCCAGGCATGATGACTTTTCCACTTCCCTGGCCAGTTTGGTCAAGTGCTTTACAGCAATTTCTGAGGAAATTTTTTCCCTAATATCCAGCCCAAACCTCGCCTGGTGCAGCTTGAGGCCATTCCCCCTCATCCTGTCACTTGTTAGCTGGGAGAAAAGACTGACACCAGCTCACTCCAACCTGCTCTCAAGCAGCTGTAGAAAGTTGGCCAGTCCAGTGGTGGAACTTCATTGCTTGATCTAAAAGGGTTGATCAGACTCATGCACTTGGAAAAAAAAAATACAGTGGATTATTCTATGAGCCAGTCTTTTAGTGGGGATGAAAAGCATCCCTAGTTCATTGTGGGTGACCTGGGGAATCACATCCAAAGGAGCAGGTTTGCAGGCAAGCCCCAGTATTCCACACCTGGAAAACCCTGTGGATGCTAAATCATGAAGACAGCTGCTTCAAAGAAATCCATTTTGCACTTTCAGCCTGTGGGATTTGTTTTGCATATTTTTCTGGAAGTTACCAGAACCTCCCAACCTCAAACTAAAAGAGGAAAGAGGAACTTCTCCAAAGTCTGATCAGGGTGTGTACCAGAACACAGGCAACTTCTGTCCTAGCTAAGGGATAGGAGCAGGCCCTATGCAACAAAAAATGAATGATTGCTGCTCTCACTTTCCCTTGAAAATGTGAAGGAAGTCACTTTCTGAATGCACGGTGGATAACTGCAAATTGTTTTATGCCAGGCAGTTAAATGAGGCATGAATAACAACCAGTCTAGTGTGGATGTGTCATATTGACATCACCTGCTGAACCAGGGAAGGTGCCTGAACCACAGCCAGCCAAAGCTCTGCTGAGTGAAAAAATTATAACACACCAATAGGCAATTTTTGGTTTTTTCTGGTAGCAAAATACAACAATATTTAGCAATGGAAGGCTTAAAAATATTAAAGACATAGTGGTAAGTTAAATTACTGCAGCTGGGTAGCATGGAGTAAGTGCTATTTGATGCTGCTGCTGAATCAAGCACTGGAAAGTTTAAGGGATCCTTGAAGTATTGACCAAGTGTTTGACTTCCAGTTGAAAGAAATCATTGGGACTGGGGAATTTTTAGCATCTCTACCCCTTCAGAACAGAAAAAATGTAAAATGCATGACCTCCAAGGCTTCTGCTTTCAGTGTTCATGACTTTCAGTAAACAAGTTTGGATTTGCTTCTTTTTATAACCACAGACTAATGGCATATAGATAGTGTCAGACTCCCTCTGTGAGTTTGTCATGGCAGAGGTGGATGTTCCTGTCTTGCTTACTGTAAAATAGGGATCTTCATGAGGCTTCTGTTAATAATAACAGCTCTATTTGCATATAGGAAATGCAGACAGCAAAATATTCTCCAGGTACTTTACTAGGTGCAGATTTCATGTCCCACAGCTGTGGTTAAGGTGACTCTTTAGGGTGAAGAAACAATTTAGTGCATTTGCTCTCAGTGGCTATTGTGTGGGTCTGAAATTGAACTTGAACTAATTGAAATTGAACTAATCTAAACCCACTCTGGCACTGGCAGCCATTCCCTGTGTGCTGTCCCTGCATCCCCTGGAAATTGTCTCTCTCCAGGTTTCCTGGGGCTCCTTCAGGCCCTGCAAGGCCACCCTGAGCTCAGCCCAAAGCTTCTCCTGTGCAGCTGAACAATCCCAGCTGTGCCAGCCTTTCCTGCCAGCAGAGCTGCTCCATCCCTCTGCTCATCCTGGAGCCTCCTCTGGGCTCTCTGCAGCAGCTCCAGCTCCTCCCTGTGCTGGGACAGGGCTGGGGCAGCTCTGCAGGTGGGCTCTCACCTGAGCAGGGCACAGAGGCAGAATTCCCCCCTCACCTCTGCCCACGCTTCTCTGGATGCAGCCAAGGACACTGTTGGCTTTCTGGGCTGCAAGTTGACATTCCCAAGGACATGTCCAACCTTTCACCAAGTCCTTCTCAGCAGGGCTGTCTGTGGTTAAGACAGGACAGGATGGCAGCCCTGGACCACGGCTCCTTCCGTGGCCACCTTGTGACTCTCCAGAGCTCGCCCGGAGCTGCCCCAGCAGCTCCATGAGGAATGAAGGAGGCTCCAGAGGAGACAACATGAAAGCGCCTCTTAATGAGACGTGAAGGCTCTAAAAAAAAAAAAAAATTCAGGAGAGAAAGGGAACTCAGTAAGTTATACCCAGCCCAGAATGAGCTGCTAATCACTGGGGCTATTGTGAGGGCTACAATAAATCAGTGTCTGCCTGCATCTCATTATGCACAAACATGTGGATGGAGAATGTCAGCCTCAATGGCATCTGTCATGTGAGCTCTGCTGTGTCCCAGTGGGCTGGAGCCCACATGCTTAGCCAGCTTTGTGCTTTCCCTCTTTCTTTGTGGGGGATATCTGTTTTATTCTGGAAATCTTGATTTCCTGTGGGTAGTAAATCTGCCCTTTCCTTGGATGGTTTGTGAATTCCGTGACGATAACATTGTATTTAAGGTGTGGGGGTAAAATGTCTTTCTTATGTGTCACATTTAGTGATTTTTTGTTAGTTTTGGTTGGGGTTTTTTTTGTTGTTTTTTTTTTTTTCTCCCCCAAGTCCTCCTCCGTTTATGGTGCCATGCATGTCACTGAGGCTAAGGCACCACCTACATGTATTTATGCAGCTGATGTATAGTGCCCATTACTCAAGCATCACAGACTACCTCGGAAAGGCTAATTAATTTAAGCCCTGCAGCACCCCTTTGAGGCAAATTTTGTCAGTCCTGATAGATGCAGGCACACGTTGTAGCTGCTCTTTTTTGTTTATTTTTAATATGATTTCTATGCCAGAGAAGGGGGGGGGGAATGAATAGTTCGTACTTTGTTAGGTAGTTGAAAAAATGTGAGGCTTTTGATAGCGTTGAAATGAAGTATGCAAAAAACTTTGGATTTTATTGCAGAGCCTCAGAGGTTCTTATTTTCTTTTAAAGCCTCAGCTCCTGGAGCTAAGTGAACTTGTGGATGTCCTTTTGTTCTTAGATGACTCTGTCTAGCTCAGGTGGTTGCAAAATAAATTTTAATGTATTGTCTTTGCTTAATCTAAAATCTGGGATGCAGCTTGACTAAGGCTGTTGGTTTGTTTCTTTTTAGTCTTAAAATTTCTGCAAGATTAGGGCTGGGAATACCAATGACTGAGTGTGCGTGCAGTTCAGAAGAGATTCTCAGAAATTACTGGTTGGTTTTGTGTTCTTGTTTAAATTTCAGAGTTCCTCAGTCCGATACTATATTAAAAGGGTGAAACAAGGGTAACCATCACCTCCCTTCTCCTCTATGAACAAACCAAAGATGGTTTTAAACATTGACTCACACTTTTTGTCTACGCTCAGTCCTATTAGAGAAAGATTCAGCACATCTATTTCAAATGCTTTATCCTCCTTTGTGTTTACACTCAGCTCTGAGCTCAGCCCTTTTTCTCCACTTCCTTTGTCAACACCAAACTTGTTTCCCTGATCATTCTCTCTTGCCCTTCCCACATCCCCTCCTGTGGTAGATCCCAAGCCACATCACATCTTAAGGAGTGATCAGAGGGGCTGGCTTGAGCTGGCTTTAATCCATGGGCAACCAAATCTTCATGTCTCACTCCCTCCTACAGGAAAATTCCTAATTCTTTAATATTTTTCTGGGGAGCAGGTGTTTTAGCCAATCTGAGACCATGTTGTCACCAAAGGAGGGAATCACCCTTTTCTGGTATCTGCTCCTACCATGTCCATTTGAGTGGCTGTCTGATATGGCAGATTTCTATTTTTCCTTGGTATCTGTAGGTGAGGAACCTCACCTGGTTTGCATCACAGCTCTGTGGCTTTGCCAGGGAGGCCTGGGAAGCATCCAGCCAAGAGCAGGGGAGAAGTGTGACCCTTGATTTGGTAGCAGTAGAGTCTCTGACTGACTTAAACTTGCAATTTAATGGCTCTGTACATAGTGTGGTTTCCAGGTCTCACTGAAAGCAGTGACCCTGCTTTGCCAGCGTGCAGCTGTGATGGACCAGCCTGGTTACCTGAGCTAGATGGGGAGAGGAGGTGCCACATTTCCATGTGGCAACTTTCAGCCTGAATCACCCTCCCAATCAACCAAAGAAGTGGCCCCCTCTTAGGCTACCTTTCAATCACAGTGTTAATAAATCTGCTGTCCTCATTTTTTAAGGTGGTAAAGTCTGTGGAAGGTTGCTGCTGCTGCTCAGGATGAACTGGGCATTGCTCCTGTGTTTTCCAATCCACAAAGCAGCTTCATGCTTCTGCTTATCTCTGTCCAGACCTGCACTCTGCCCCTACCTTGAAATCTCACAAGTTCTAAGACAAAGAGCTCTTTAAGCAGTCCATAATTCAGCCTGTGCTCTGGACAGGTTGCCAAGACTCATGGGTTGGGCCAAAAAGAAATTGGAGATGATCAGGAATTCATCTGCTGTGCAAATGTGGGCTTGGGCCAAAAAGAAATTGGAGATGATCAGGAATTCATCTGCTGTGCAAATGTGGGCTTGGCGGGTTTTCCCCCTTCCAGGAACAGGATTATTTTAAAGCTTTTCAGCAGGATCAGCTGTTTTGGATGGGCTGCAGCAGCACATCTTCCCTAAAAAGTGACACTAAATTGATTTCTCGGGGCAGTGCTCACCATAATTTAAAGCTGAAGATAGTTTAGACAAAAACCGCGATGATTTTTTTGTTGCTCATTTGTTTCATTGGATATGCAAATCACCTCTCCTTTCTTTTTTTTTTTTTTTTTTTTTTTTTTTTTTGGCAGTTAAATATTCTGGTTGACACTGGGAGCAGCAATTTTGCTGTAGCAGGTGTGCCTGATCCTGATGTCACATCCTACTTCAATCCTGAGCTGTAAGTACCTGTTCTGCACCCATGGAAATTAGGGGGGTCTTTTGGATTCTGGCTCCTTCATGCAAGAGAGAATAATAAGGCAGCTCAGCTCCTGGGGCTCCTGTGACATCCCATGGGAGTGGGATGTTGGCTGCCTGGTGGGAATTTTGGATTTGCCTGATGCCAAACTCTGCCTGACACCATGAGCAGCACAGCTGAGCTCTGAGTGAACATCAGCAGCACTGATTAGAACTGGAGAAAAGAGAACATTATTACAGGGTGAAAATCATTTGCAAAATCACACCAATTTCAGCCAATTTCTTACCTGAATAGACTTGCAAGGAATTAAAAGTTTCAATGTGCTTTGCCTTTGTTTGAAGACAAAAATGAAAAGCCGGTAATTGTGTCAGTAATTGTATTACTTGACATTTCATCCAGAAACAAAATGACTTAGTCAAAACCTAATTTGTTGTTCAGTTTGGCCACAGGCCTCAATCAGTCAGTGATCTGGGCAGACCCTGATGAATCTGGTTGTTTATAAAATACAACTTGGTGGTTCTGGTGTTTGTTGTGCACTAAATTTGCTGTGTTTAGCATAAGCTGACATTAATCACAGCCAAGCTTTGTCTGTCTGAATCACACTTCTTCTTCCTTCCTTTCTGCCTTTCTCTAGTTTCAATTATTTCAGGTAAACTTCTCCAAAATGCAGTGTCTATCTTTAGGTTTAACACTTTTTTTTTTCCAGTAAGATGCGCTGGGAATGGAGGGAAATCTTATTATTTCCATGCTTCTTACTGGAGTAGCCTCATCTCCTGTCATATATTTAGATGTTAATGGAGATATTTCACATCATGCTGATATGATACAGGCCTGGAAAATCCGGAATTTTGGAGAGCTATTTCTGATACTGCTTGATAGCTATTCCTGCACTACTGCAGGGTTTTCCATGCCAGCCAGCTGTCCCCTTCCATAGGCAGTGGCTAGAGAAAACTTAATTAAAATTAAAAGAAAACTTAATTAGAATTAAAAGCGTAAGCATTCTTTCTCCCTTGTCTCTTAATTGATGTTATTGAGACTGGAAGGACAAGGCCTCTCTCATCAGAAGCATAAACCATTAGAAACAGCAGCAGCAGAGCTTGTGTGTGGGGAAAGACAGACTGAAATCATGTGAAGGTTACAGCCTCTGACCAGTGTGCTCAGTGGACACTGTGTTTTGAGAACTTTAATATAAGGTTAATAATGAAACCTTGAGGTCCAGGCCCTAAAGAGTTAGTTAAGGGTGCTTTGGAAAATTACTCAAAATCAAGTCATTACTTGATTTTAAGTCATTACTTAAAATTCAATCAAGTCCAGAGCAATTGCAGCAAGAGTTTCTGGTTTGGGTTGCACTGATGGAGTCCTGCAGTGGGCTCAGAACACAAACATCAGCAGACTCCTGGGTACACCATGCTTCTACCATTTAAAATATTTTAACTGCATTTAAATATATAAATTGGAGGGATCCTGGGCCCAATGAAATCGGGTAGATCTAAAAATATTGGTTGCAAGAAAGCTCTGTAGGTCACCTAGCACACATCCCAAATGAGCTGGGGCTGTCACCAGAGCAGGTGAGCCATGGCTGAGCCCAGCCAAGTCCTGTAAACCTCTGAGGATGGAGAATCCATGCTCTGTCCAGGCAGAGTGTCATGCCACAGTCTCCTGGGGAGGAAATATTTCCTGTTGTCTAACCTGAACCTCAAAAAATGTAACTGGTGGCTGTGGCAGTCAGCGTGGCAGCTGCTGCCTTTGATGTAGATCCCATGCAAACCTGAGTGTGCAGTCTGTCCTTCATGTAGGTTCTTGATGAAGACCTTCACAGAACCACAGGATCACTGAGATTGGAAAACACCTGCAAGACCATCAAGTCCAATTTGTGACTGCTCCCCACCTTGTCACCAGCCCACAGCACTGAGTGCCATGTCCAGGCCTTCCTTGGACACCTCCAGGAGGGATGAGTCCACCACCTAGCTGGGCAGCCCTTTCCAGTGTTTAACAGCCATTTCCATGATGAAATTCCTCCTGGTGTCCAGCCTGAGCCTCTCTTAGCACAGCCTGTGTGTGTCCTCTTGTCCTGTTGCTGTTGCATGGGAGAAGAGCCTGACTCTCAGCTGGCTGCACCCTCCTGCCAGGGACTTGTACAGAGTGAGAAAGTCTCTCCTGAGCCTCCTTTTCTCCAGCTGTGGAAGAGTTTTTGCTGCACTCACAACCCCTGGGGCTCTGCTTGTCACGATCAGTGGCTCCTTTGGACCCAGGGGTGCAGCCCACCTTCAGCCCACACTTTGTTCAGCCCCACATCCTCAGCTTCCAAATGGGAATGCCATGGGAGGTGGTGTCCAAAGCCTGACAGAAGCCAGGATGTGCTGCAGCCACTGTTCTCCTCAGCTGTGCCTCCAATCCTGATGTAGAAGGGACTGAGATGGATCAGGTGTGATGTGCCTGTGAAATTCCTGGTTGAGTGTCTGTGACTGCATGGCTGTTCTTCATGTGCTTGGGAACAGATTCCAGGAGCTTTTGTTTGAGACTTCTCCTGACTGGAGGTGAAGCCCAGTCACCTCTGCTTCCTTGGGTGCTGCTGTTTGTCTCTTTTTGAGACTGGCCTTAGGGTAGGCTTTTCCCAGCAGTCAGAACACCTTCCCTGGCATTGTGATTTAAACCCTGATGGCAGCTCAGCCCCACACAGCCCCAGTCACTCACTTCCCCACCAAAACCCCAAACGTTTCCCTGTTCTTCCCCCAGCTGTATGTGCTGAGCATGACACCATGGTTTGGGATATCCCTGGGGTCAGCTGGGGTCACCTGGCTGTGTCCCCTCCCAAATTCTCATGCACACCAAGCCTGGCAGTGGTGGGGTGGGCCGAGAGGGAGAAAAGACCCCGGCTCTGTGCAAGATCTGCTCAGCAATAACAAAAACATCTCTATATTTCAGCTCTGTTTCCAGCACAAATCCAAAACACAGCCTGTGCTAGCTGCTGTGAAGAAAATTAACTCCATCCCCAGCCCAAACCATCACACTTGGCTGTCGTGATTTTGCAGGGATGGTAAACAGGGGCACTGATATCACATCAGCTGCATCTGTAAAATTACCCAAGAGCAACCTTTGCCCACGTGTAAATGAGAAAACAGACCTATGGGCACTTTTCTTCCTTCCTAGGAGGAACACTTAAGATTAGATAAAAGGGTTTCCTCTCATCTGGTAATCACTCCTGCAGTTTTTCCCTGTGTTGTCATGGAGTGCTTCCGATGTCTTAAACTGCAAGTTGAAGACAAGGGGGAAGAAAGATTAGTAATTTGTTAAATTAATGGGTTATGAGTTATAGATGTGCGCTTCTTAGAATATTCATGTTGTGTTGGAGAGAGTGATGGGGCTTAATTTCCTGGTGCCACACTCTTAGTTTAATTTTATTCAGATGATCAAAATCAGAAATTGAATGCATGATTCTTTTTTGACTGAAATTGAGGGGGGTGCATGGGAGAGGCATTATCTTTGTTTCAAATGACCCAGAGAGTGTATTTTCCAGGAAGAGCCCTCCTGGAGCAATTCCAGAACTAACTTGTTAAGTGATGTTGTGTATCATAAAATCTATGTGATATAATCCTGCTGTTTAATTATCTGGCTCTTTCTTTACAAAGTGAGTAAAGCTGTTACCAGGCACTCTTTTACAGCTTGGGCTTTTGAGTGGCTCTGACAAACCTTTGCTGTAAAGAGTTCTGAGTTTGCTGTGATAATCATGCTCTATAAGTCACCATGATGTATAAGGTTTTGCAAAATTACCTGATTTGTCCTGATCTGAAAAGAAATCACGGTGTTTGTTTCTCATGCTGTTGAAAATAACAAGTAGTTTTGTTGAGTACTCTACTTATGATAAAAGAGATACTTAAACAGACATATAAAGGGAATTTTACACTTGAACCCCAGTGATCAGTGATGGCTCTGCAGCAGTATGTAAATCTGACATGCTCAGGGCTTTCAGTATTCAGGAACAGTATTCAGTTTTATTTCAGTAAATAAATAAAGACTACTACTGCCTCACCCTCTGAAGCTTCAAAAGCAAGCTGCTCAAGAGTTGATCTTTCCAAGAGATAGGGAGGTAAGAGAAATATAGGCAATAAATTGAGGTAATACAATAAGTTATATACCACCAAACAAAAGAAACAAAGCAGCTTGTTTTGCTGCTTTTGCAGTGTGACCCTGCCAGGTTGGTTGTGTGCACTGTACAGGTTGTGGTTTGGGGTGATTATAAACTCTTTGTGGAAGCCCTGCAGATTAGATGGGACTTCTTTGTTAGAAATCAATAATTTCTGTTGTATTTTCACGTTTGAGTTGTTTGGTGAGGTCGGTGTCATGCAGGGCTTCCTGCACGTGGTGGATTTGCTGTTGCCACATTGAGCTTGCTGCAGAGGGATTGTGACATGAGAAATGAGATTCTGCTGGTGTTTTGTCCTGTGCTGTGTGCTGGTAATGAGGACTAACTCTGCAAGAGAAAATTACCCCACTGGTGGTTTGCTCAGCTGGGGCTCAAGATCCATGTGAGGTTTGAGGACCAGGTTTGTGGTGGCTGCTTTGGAGAGAAGATGGGAATGGGAAGGAGAGGGAGAAGGGAGCAGGATCCCTACAGCACCATGATCTAGAGCCCTTATTCCATGCCTGTGTCTACTTTGTCCTGCTGGAAGAGGTGAATTTCTTCTTTCTCATCACAGCCAAAACAGCTTGTTTGTAATTTTCTTTTCTGTGCTGTGTGTTTGTTTTACAACACTCCGCCCATGAATTACAACTAGTCTCTAGTTTTGACCTCTAAAGTTTTCCTCCTTTAGATCAGTGAGGCAGAAAGGTGAAAAAAACCTGTGGCTGATTACCTGCAAGAGGACGGGGAAGTGGTTTTGCAGAACAGAATCTAATTTACTGCAAGATCCCTTCCCATGTTACCAATTTTGCTCCTTGACGGAAGTAATAAGTCTCCTCTTCAATAAGACATTTGTGAACTTTACAAATGAGATGAGGGTCTTCATATCCATTTCTGCAGGTGGGGAAGCTGAGGCACAAGTGGTGAGGAAGCAGGAAAGGTCAGCAGCTGTGCTGGAAAGTGAATCCAGTCTTTCTGTGTCCTGGTCCACAGCTCTCCCTGCTTCTGGAAGAAGAGCTGTGTGCTGCTGCTGTTCTAGCCATGCACTGCTTGTATCTGCAGATTTGCTTCACTTTATTATCCCAGCACTCCATTTTCTCTGATTTCAGAGGTTTCCTCTTCTGCTGCTCAGCCAGACACTTTTCTACATGAAGAAAAGTATTCTCCCTTTCATTTCTTGCCCCTGCAGTTTCCCTTATGCCACTAATTATTCAGACTCTGTTTTGATTTATAAAATGTCCTGCCAGTGTCACAGAGGTGTTCTGAGGAGCCTGCCTGAGCAGAGGTGTTCCTTTGTGTGTGTGTCACACAAATGCAGAATTACACAGGAGCAGTGCAAGTGATCAGATGCAGGTAATAAGAGTATCTCTGGAACTCCTGCATTTTGAAATATTATCTCATGTATTTCTGCTGCCTTGGATGTTAACCCTTGAAGGGTGAGGTCTTGGGAGTGTCAAGAACTGCTTACAGGGTTGGAGCCAGGCCTCCCTGCCTTGGGAGAGTCAGGTTCATGGTCCATATGGCCAAAATGTCCCTCAGGAGAAAGTGTCTCAATTATGGGACTTGCCCATGTTGCCATCAGAAGCTTGTTCCTCATAATAATGAAAATGACCCCAAATTCATGCTGGTGAGCTCAGGCTGTTGGATTAAAGCTGGATTGATCAAAGTATCTGCACCTGATAAACCCTTGCCTTTCTACTTTTCTACACTCATGTAAAGATGCTGTTACAAATTTATTTTATGCTTCCCCCCACCCCCAATTTACTTTCCAAAAAGCTGTGAAAAGTCTCTTGAGATGAACTGAGTGTGGTCATCTGTCTCTCCAAAAGAGGAAGCTGTGTGCCAAGGAGAGGATCCAAAGTAAATTGTGAGGGATCTAGAACTTTTGAAATTCTTCAGTAGAGATGTGTGTGGGATATGAGAAAAATACTTATGGATTACAGGTCTTTAAAATGAAAAATCTGTTGAAGCTTTTAATAATTTTTTTTTTTAAGCCTTTTAAACAGGATTCAGTTCCTTCTTTTGCTTGCCATACTTAACTGCTCCTTTGCCTTTGCTTCCCTGGTCTAGAAGAAATTAGTTCCTTTCCTCCTCCAAGTCAGTGAATCATTTGTTAATAATCCCAAATTCTACTTACTTCCTCACAGACAGGTCAAACTGCAGACTTAGGAAACCTCTGTCTTACTGCTGGTACTCACAATAATATTTAACCAAAAAGGATCTTTTAGGAATATTAATGAGGTATTGGTCTACAGCTATTCAGTTAGCTTAGCATTTCAGTTTTAGATTTGAATTCAGCAGCTTTCCATTTTCTAGTGCCATTTAACACATTCCTTCTCCAGTTAAAAAGTATTGCTTCTATGGACCAGACTGAGTCAGGGACACTGCACTAGGTGATATAATATCTTAGATGATTTGTTTTTTAAAAAAACACATTGTGAAGATCTGAGTTATTGATGGCTTCTGGATAAAAATGGGGCTTTGACTTTTGGGGTTTTTTAATTTCTGCTTTTTCCTGATTTTACGAGCAGGGTGAATACATATTTTGCATACTTAATTTACCTTTTTTTCCCCTCTCTGGGCAAAATTGAGTTGGAATATATTCTGTTGTCTTGCACTGTAAATGAACAGCCCGTGCATCAGTGTGTCCTCTCCTTTTAAAGGTCAAGCACATACAGATCTCAAGGCATTGAGGTGACAGTGAAGTACAGCCAAGGCAGCTGGACTGGACTGCTGGGCACAGATGTCATCACCATGCCCAAAGGACTCTATGGCAGCTACACCACCAACATTGCCACCATCCTGGAGTCAGAGAACTTCTTCCTGCCAGGGGTTAAGTGGCACGGGATCCTGGGTCTCGCCTACGATGCCTTAGCCAAGGTAAACCATCCCTTCCCTCCTGATTGCCTTTCACAAGGACAATAAACAGAAATCTGCTAAAACAATGCCAGCAGATGATCTCTCAGCATTAGGCTCCACCCTTCCAGCCACTCCTTCCTACAGATCTTCTGTCTTTGTCCCAGAAGGAATAAATTGGGTTGTGGTGGTACCATGGTGCCACAGGAGGATTTTGGCTTTTCTGGTGATGGAAAGGCTGATTTTAGCTCCTCTGGAATGAATAAGCTTTTGCAGAGCTTGTAGTACCAGAGTGTGGTTGTGGGATGTATGTGGAGGGAGGTTTTAGAGCTCTGAGGACACTTCTCAAAACTGGTCCAAGGCAAAGCCCTCAGCAGTTCGTTCTAGGCCATTCTCTGTTCATCGAGTAAAAGTTGAGGTGGATGGATAATTTCAGAACAAATATTGGCTACAATATTTCCAGAAACATAGAACCAAGCGCATCCTGCTGCTCTGGAGGCAGGAAATTCAGGTAGAAGATTCAATTAAAACCTGAAATTTATAATCCAAAATGTATAACCTTAAAAATCTAAAACTGAAAACTTGATTGGAAAACTTCAATTAAAACCTGAAATTTATAATCCAAAATGTATAACCTTAAAATCTAAAACTGAAAATGTGACTGGAAAACGACAAAGTTACCATTTTCAACCTTCCCATCCCGAAGTGAGTTCTACCCAGAGAGAACAAACAAGTTCTGTTTTTTTTTACTTCATGGACTGTCAGCAGGAGAGGAAGAGGAAGAGGAAGAGGAAGAGGAAGAGGAAGAGAAGAGAAGAGAAGAGAAGAAGATGTTCTGTTCTCAAACTCTGCTTTGGGCAAACAGAGTACTCAGGGCATTTGTTCTTCCCTTCTTCCAAGGATGTCAGGGTTGATCTGCTCTGGGCTTTGTGCAGTGAGAGCACTTGGCCCCTCTGACCTCTGCACACAAATCTGAGTTACAGGGAAGTTGCAGCACTCCAGTGGCTGCAAAGGAAAACAGGACCTGCAGTGTCAGGAAGAACCTGGCCAGTACCCAGCTGGAGAGTGTGCTTTGGTATGAAGTTCTTCAGGAGAAAAGAGAGGAAATTTGGGACACTCAACTCAAAGTTTGATAGAATTCAACAGTGCTGAAAAACTGAAAATCTTGACTTTAAAATTCTGCTTTTTAACTGTGGGAAGGAGTGAAAGGCAAGTTACCTTTGAGTGTTCTAATAACACAAAGCCTTTTCCAAACAGAAACTATCAGTGAGAGTTTCTGCCTGAAACTGGTGTTTGAGTTTGGAAACTGCAACTGAAAATTACTCCTGTGTTTTAGGGATTTGGTGGCAGCATAGCTGACAGTGGCCAAAAGTAAAAATGTTTTTAAAAACAACAGAAACAGAAAAATGACAGATATTGGGGTTTTAATGGCTCATTATGTCTAGAACTTTCATCAGCTGCTTGTCAGAAATTCAATTTACTAATGAAAAGTGGTCTTGTTTGAATGATTTGCTGATTTCTGCGAAGAAACTTTCTAATGAACCCTGCAATTCTTTTTTTTGTTTGTTTGTTTTGCTTTTCAACACCTTCAAGCCTTCCAGTTCTGTGGAGACATTCTTTGATTCCCTCGTGAGGCAGGCAAAGATCCCCAACATTTTCTCCCTGCAGATGTGTGGTGCTGGACTCCCTGTTTCTGGAAGTGGTACCAACGGAGGTAGTCTTGTGGGTATCTGTCAGTAGGAGAGGGAAAATGTATCTTTGTTCACCTCTCTCCCTCTTTTCTCTGACTGTCCTGCTTCTGCCAAATTTAGTGTTTAATACTTTTTGTATTTTAAATATGTTTTCTATTTTTTTAAAGAAAAGCTAAGCCCTTAGGCAAAATTTGAGTGTTATTTATTTTCATGCTCAATTCTTTTTTTTTTTTTCTCTCTCTCAAGTTTGAGTAAACTTTTCATCTTTTAACAAAGAAAAATATGAATGTTGTGGTGTTTCCTCGGGGCAGATTCTGCTATATTTCTCAAACTGAGTAGTCCCTTATGTAGCTGATAAATTTGTTCAATCTCATCAAAATGCTACAGTATTTTTTTTTTTTTTTTTTTTTTTTTTTTTTGTAAATGACATATTAAAGGGAAAAATCTGTAGATCAGAGCTCCTGCTTGCTGTTACTCTGGGAAATCTTTCCATCATCTTTAGTGGGACCATGAATTGGTCCATTATGTATCTGGAACTGGGAGATGGAATGACTGCTCCCAAACGATGCTGAAATAAACACCTGAGCACAGGAGCTGATCACAAACACTTATTTTGAGGAGAATTCACATATTGTAAATGTTTTTCTTATCACTGAAGACCAAGAGAAAATTTTCTGAAGTTTAGTTCAGAGTCAGAGTCCACAAATGCTCCCAGCCATCTTCAGCCTAAGTTTTGATGGAAGCTAGGAGTGGTAACAGTGCCAGGATGTGATTCCATTTTGGATGTGTGTCAGAAAAAATGAAATCTTGGAAAATATTAAAGCTTTTCTGATCTGATAAATCAAATTATTCACATGTAAGTTTATTATTCTATCCCATTTTTATACATTGCCTAGATTTATCCACTGAAGATACTGTTTTAATACTGTTTTAATTTTAAATAGTGGCATTTTCATAATAGAATCAGTGTGAGGTTGTAGGTGAAAATGCTGCTAATTTGGCCCAGTATGGGAATTCTGTTTGAAGCACAATCTGTTTCATGTCTAGATGCTTCATGCTGCTCTATTATTGACAGAGAACTTGACAGTAAAATCCTAACAAATGATGCTAAATTAAAACTACATTCCCCCTGAGTATCACAATTAAGCATCCCCCTTTTTGTGTGCGCCTGCCCCAGGACTAAACACGTGGGATTTTTAAGTAAGTGACATCTTTTCTCCTGTCCCTCAGGTGCTGGGTGGAATTGAGCCGACTCTGTACACAGGGGACATCTGGTACACACCCATCAAGGAGGAGTGGTACTACCAGGTGGAAATCCTCAAGCTGGAGGTGGGGGGACAGAACCTCCAGCTGGACTGCAGAGAGGTATTGGCCCTGCTGTGTTCCTGTCTCTGCGAAATGCAAGTTTGGCTGAGAAAAAGGGGGAAAAAAAAGCAAAACCTGACTGGTCAGTTTTGTCTTGGCAAGCAGATGTGCACTGCAGTCTCCTGAGACATGAATTAAAGCAATTCTGGTCAAACAAAGGAAAGGGGAGGTTTTGGGCTGACCCCTGTCTGAGCTCACAACTCGTGATGGCAGTGGGCAGGTGTCACCCTGGGTTGCTTCCTGAAGTTCTCATCCTAGGCTTCCTTTTCTACTTTGTGTTCTTGCAATCAAGTTTTGCTCTCTTGTGGTTGGCAGTTATTATTCCTGATGGATAAGCTTTCTGTTTCTATTAGGAATAATGTTCTGCTGTATCTAGATCAGTCTAATGAGACTGTGCTGTTGCAATTTTTATTCCAAAGGCATTATTTTTTTTTTTTTTTGTGGAGGATATATGTGTATGTGTGTGCTTTATCTCTTTCTTACTCTTGCTTGTTGGTATTCATGTTTTGATTTTAGTTCTGTATTTTTTATGCCCCAATTTCTTTAGACATCCTAATTTCATTCTACTCTGATGCTCTTAGTAGGAGATCAATGGGATGTGATAAGTTTAAAGTTTTTATAGTTCATATAAATTAAGTGAAATTCATTATTCCAGTACTACATGTGCATAAATATTATATTCCCATGCAAAATATTGAAATCATATTGCCACATCAATTATTTAAAATGAGTCCCAGCATCTTTCAACTCAATAAGCAGAACAAGGTCTATTTAAATGCCTCTCTCTATTGTGCTGTTAGGAAAGCAAAACCACTGATCCTTTAAAACAAATGTTTGCTTTTCTTTCTTGCCTTAAAAAACAGTCAACATGTTTTTGAAGGGGAGCCCTTCAGTGGTTTAATACATGCTGTTGCCAGAAAACAACTCACTGAAAAATTCAGTGGTGTGTCAGGAAAGTTTCCTGTAATTGTTGCTCTTTTCTGAGCCAGGGGTTGCTTTCACTGGTGCAGAAGTATCGAGCCTTCCTGGATCAAAGGAGACCTTCCCACAGAAATTACACAGAAATTCAGAGGAAGAGCAGTAAAAGAGGAGCAGCACAATTAAAGCTGGGCTGGTTGGGAGCTGGCAGAGGATGCATGATTCACTGGAGGATGAGGAGCTGTGTGCCCTCTCTCCTCTCTGCTGTTTGCTGGGAAATGGAACATTTTTTCACAGCCTTCACCAGGGACTGCTCCTTTCCTTGCCAGGGAAAAGTCATCCCCTTGCTCCAATGCTGGGAATGTGTCCAGAGCTCCAGCACAGCTGTGGCCTTGAGCCTGGGCTGGGGCAATGCTGAGCTGCCAGAAGTGCACTTTGCACTGGTAAATATTAACCAGGAAAGCCAAGAAGGCAAAACCAGGTGCTCAGTCCCCATGTGAGCAATCCCACTACAAAAATCCCACATTTTTGCACAGGTCTATATCAATGGTCAACCCTTTTAAGTACTTTTTTCCAAGGGTGGCATTCCAGGATGCCAGTGATTGTGTATTTTGTGATACAAATCTGTTAAAATGGACTACAAAATGCCCTGGCATTTCTTTCCACTCTTCAGAAGTATTTCCAAGTGTGTAATAAATGGTTTCCTGTTTGCTTTTCTTTCAGCTCTCTGTGGCAGCCCCATAGCTGCTCTCTCAATAAAAATGTGGAAATAACTGTCAAGAGTTACTTTTTCTAACTTTTTTCGGTGGGTTTTATTTTTGTCACTGCCCTAAAGGGACTCCATGTGACTTGATAGCATCCAAACCAATGCATTTTAAATTCACTTACTGTTTGACCTCTTCCTAAGTAGCTTAGGCTGTATATCATCCTGTGTCTTGTGCTTATGCCATAAACATGTCACAGCTCAGTTATATTAATCCTGCTGCCTAAGCTGGCAGCAAAAGTAGTTAATGCAAATAGCTGCCACTGCTTCTTGCCTTCCCCCCCTCCTCAGTTAATCATAGTTTTTAAGGAGTTCATGAAAAAAAAATTACCCTTTTAAAAGTTTGTACCTCATTGACTGTACCTGAAGTTTGCTGAAATCTCTTAATTTTATGGTTGGATTTTCAGTAATAAGAGAGCTGTTTGCTGTGGGTGGTTTTTTGTGCAGATTTTAAGGCAGCAAGACAAACTTCAAGTTTCTTTGTACTTGGGGTTTTTTGTGTGTCTTAGGGGTTTTTAGCAGTCAAGGGATAAAGGTGTGACATTTGTACTCTTGAGCCAGTACAGACATGTATTAAGGCTTAATTTTTTCTGCTTATTCTTAGATTAGATATGCCAGCCATTAAAACAGGCTGCTGTGTTTAAATCAGAGCTCTTCTCATGCTAGCAGAGATCTTGATTCAGGGCTTGGAAGCTGCATCAGGGTGTTTAACACCTGTCTACTGAATATTAAAATGCTTTTGCTCCCTCTGAGAAGGGCCAGAATTCACTTTTTTACAGCACTGTGGACCATTTGCACCAGCTGTGGTGACACAGTAATTTCCTGACCAGTGCAGATAAACCCACTCTTGTGTCTAGCCTGATAGTATCTTGCTTTTTTTTTTTTCTTTCTTTTTTTTTTTGGCTCTCAGATTTCACTGGAATTGAAGCTGTCAGCTGGAGAGAGCTGCTGACAAGTCTGACATGCAGTTCTGGGAAGGCAGCTGCCAAAAAGGAGCAGCTTTGTTCTGCTCAGGAGACAGTGGGATCTGCATTACAGTAACTACAGCGTACAACTTCTCTCTCTCTTTTTTTTTTGTCTCCCCTCCCCAGTACAATGCTGATAAAGCCATAGTAGACAGTGGAACCACTCTCCTTCGACTGCCAGAGAAAGTCTTCAGTGCTGTGGTGCAGGCAATAGCTCGCACGTCCCTGGTAAGGAAATGCCACCAAACCTGCTCAGAAATGTGAAATTCAAGGATCACAGGGTCTTTGAGAGGGGTCTCATCTCTGCTGCCTGCCTTGCAAGTCATGGGTTTTTCACCTGAGGGGAGCAGAGCCTTCCCTGGTCCAGTCCTGTTAATAAGGGAGGAATGACTGATGGTCTTTCAGGGAAGGTGGAAAAAAATAAGGGAGGAGGGAAAAGGGGGGGCACAAGTGCAGACAAGAAGTGTGAGCATGGAAATGCATCAGAAGTAGGGCAGAAATGGTGTATTTTATTCTAAGCATTTCAGAAACACAGACATAATCCCTGTTGCTCTGATTCAAAGTATTAAGAGTGCAAAAATCAGTCTTTTCATTCAAAACAGAGTGTTTATAAAGTAGGAGAACCTGCTGCTGCAAGCAGTTCCTTTCCAAGTATAATTCTCAGTGCTGTCTAGAATAAATGCCATTCATTAGGGTTATTCATATCAATAAAGCTGCTTTTGACCTTCATTATTGAATTATTTATGTTCAAAAGCATCTTTCTTTGGAAACAGAGTGGGCTTTAGAAGTAGGGCACGGGAATGGTGGAGTTCTCTGCGTGCAGAGTGGCTGAAGCAGCATTTTCTGGTTAATAAAAACTATTCATAAATTTCTGTTCAACACAAGGAACAGCACCAAGAAGGTTAAAGAGGAAGAATAAACACCAGCTATTTCAGTGTGAACAAACTCGGTATTTTTGTCATGGACTCACAATCAGCCTGTGGTTGTTGATGCAAATCACAGGAAACACAGTAAAGCAGCTGCCCCAAAGACAGTGTTTGCCTAAAGTCTGCTGATAATTCAAGATTGAGATCCTTTCTCCTGCTTGATGGAGAGCAGAGATTTGGCATGAAGCGTCCTTCACTGCCTGCAGATGTCCAGCATCTGAAATAAATGTACCAGTTACGAGTTCTTCTCTCTGCACAACACTTAAGTGTTGAACAGTTGGAACAATTTCAGTCCTTGGGGGGGAGAATTGAAAGAAGCCAGCCCAGGAGCTCTTGTAGTGTCACCCTGTGGATAAGGAATCCTCCTGGGAGTGGTCACAGTGATCCACACTCCCCTCTGATGCTGGTCAGGACATCTGAACTGGGGCCTTCCACCTCACAAGGAAACAGTGGACAGATCAGTGAGGTATTAGAGAGGAACCATTCACTCTGCTTAATTTTTTTTTTATCCTGTTCCTATTAAAAATGCATAAAGTAGCTTTTTTTCTGAGTTCTTTTTAATCTCTAGGACCTTTCTGCTCTACCCCTTTCCCTCCACACAGCCCAGAATTTACTTTGACAGCTCTAAACAAAGGAGATAGTCTACTAAATAAGAAAGTAGTTACAGGATGCATGGATGGGACTCCAGCTGTGTAGGAGCAATGTCAGGAAAATGGGTATTTTCAGCAATTGTACTGTGGCTCTGTGCTTCTGGCAGGAGATGTACCACTGGAAAAATATCATCTGCTGTAGTCAGACACACTTTTCTGACCACAGGTGAGCCAGGTTAACAAGTTCCTCCTCCTCCTAGCTTGTTATGAGCAGCCCAGCCAGATGTTATTTCCCCCTGAGATAAACTGGGATAACTGTCTGTGACACATTTCTTTCTTCAGCTCAGTTCAAAAACAAGGCTGTGAGCTCTGTGCTCTTTAGTGGTGCAGATGGGTTTTTTTTAAACTTAAATTATTTGGACTGAAGGCTTTCAGGGAGCAGCTGGTAGGATGCAGTTTGGTGTTGAAGAGTGGTGGTTTTGGCAGATGGGCAGAGATGAGCCAGGGAGGGGGGACACCTACTACACCTCACTGAGCTGAAGTCAGGACAGCAGGAAAACAATGGCCAGTTAAAAAGCTGAGTGAAGGAAGGCTCAGATAATCCTAAAATCTTTATTTTAGTAGCCTTTTGGGGATCACGCACTCAAATCTCCCACATGCATTGCTGCAGCGTGCAGAGGGAAGGGAAAGGAATGCAGTGCATTAAGCAGTCATTCTGGGGAATTAAAGCAGGCACTTCAAACAGAGCACTTCATAGGATTGGCCTGACCTGGCTGGGGGGTACCTTGCAGTTTTCCTCGGATCTGCTTTTCAAGGCAAAAAGGAAAGAGAGGAGAGCTGCATTTCTCAGCAGGTTTGGCCTGGGACCCAGCTGTGAGGGATGAGTGCTCTGCCCCGTGCCAAGGGATGCACTTCAGCAGCAGCTGGGAGCTCGGGGTAAAAGGCTGTTCACGGTGGAAAATCTCCTTGTTCACATGAGTCTTTGTGCTTGCTGAGGCCCAAGAACAGAGCAGAGCACCTGGAAATGGGAAGGAGTCTCAGTGCAGCCCTAACAAACACTTCATTGGCAGGTGTGGCCATGGGTGAGTGCCTGTCACCTGTAAAATGCCATATTTTAATGAATGAGCTGATGCTTACAGAATAATCCATCACAGATAAATAGAAATGAGGAGAGTGCAGAGGGTGGATTTCCTCTTTTTCCCTCACCCAGATGGGAACCTTTGGCTGTGCAGCCTCAGACCAAGCTCCTCCCTTCTGCTGCTTTGTGGGGGAACAAGAACCAGCCAAAGAAATGCAGTAAAATGAGGAAGGGTTTTGCTCAGATCTGTCAGCAGGTCAGCTTCAGGGAGCAGGAACATTGAGCAAGATGTTTGTCTTAGCCAAACAAGCTCTGTAAGGGTTGGCTTTTTGTTTTGTTAGTTCCATGGATATGTTACAAAACACTGTTGATCAGTTTTATTTCAAAAGCGTGTCAGGTTGTACTGGCAGGGAGTGACAGGGCTTCAAAAGAGACAGAGGGTGTGTTTCTTTCCACTACAGCAAACCTTGACTCCCTCAGATGCCAGGAGATTTTTGGCTTTGCCCTTGGCTTCAGAACTCTGAAGCTGAGTAAGGAGCTGTAGGTGCATGAGGAAGGGAGGTGACCTCATCACCTCATGATATATTCACGTGGTCTGTGTTTTGGTTTGTGTTTTTTTATGGAATGCAAAATGCAAAACCATTGGTGAGGCAGTAAAACCCCATTGTGGAAGTGATTGCTCAGGGAGGCCACGTGTGCACTGCAGTAGAGGAAATAATGGGACAAAAATGGGGAGGGAAGGGAGAGCTAAACTTGTTTTTGCCTCCTCCCCCTTCTCCAGGTCATGATGGGTCATGACACACCTTGGTTTGGGTGTTGGGGTTTGGGTTTTTGCCTTGGTCCTTAAAGAAGCAGCTCAGATTCGTGTTGAATTTCTCCATGGAAATGAAAGAAGTATCAAATAGTGGCAGTGATCATTCACAAAAATTTATCAAAATGGCTGTAATCTCTAAGGATAATTTTGTTTGGTTGGTTTGTTTTGCAGATACAAGAATTCTCTTCTGAATTCTGGACTGGTACACAGCTTGCATGCTGGGATAGAACTGAAAAACCCTGGTCCTTATTTCCCAAACTCTCCATTTACCTGAGGGATGAAAACTCCAGTAGGTCGTTTCGGATCTCTATCCTACCACAGGTCTCAACCTCCTTTGTTTATTCATCTCTGCATTTATTTTTACTGTTACAAAGCACATACTCTTTAAAAATAGGAGCTATTTTTAGCAGTGACAGGGAACTGGCTTATTGTATGCAAGGGAAACCTTTTTTAATCAAATTTTAAAAATCAATTTTCAAATAGGGAAAATAACAAACTGGTCAAACCTGAAAGCAAAAAAGAAAGGGACAAAGCACAGTTTCCCTCCCAGTGCAGTCCATCCAGTTGGGAATTAATTTTTTTTTTCAATTTGTCAGGAAAAACAGGCAAATTTCTGTTTTGTTTTCGTGAGCTTTGGCCACATCAGACTGTCAATACAGAATGTCTCTGCTCGTTTTGATCTTCTCATTTGGGGAAGGGAATTGATTTGTTTCTCGTGGCATTTTGAGTTGGAGCACTTCTTCTGAATATGAAAATCTGGGCAATGACCCTTTGTGAGCTCTTCACCAGTTTCTGTAACTCGCCTGGTTTATCTTTTATTAATATTCCATCCATACCATTATATTTAGAATACAATGTGCCATTTTTGCTTTTCTTCTCTGCCTTCTCCTCCCACTGTAAGTTCCAGTACAGGCTGGTATTGTCTAACATTACTAATACATTCTTTTACCTCAAGGGACAGGCAGGAGCAAAGGGAAGAATGAACCTATTAAGTACATTTTAACTTGAAATATAGTAAAGCCTTATGATAAGCTTTTTCTATATTGATCATGTAGCTTGGCAATCATTCATCTTCCCCGAGGAGACAGGGGGTGAAATGTGACTTGAATTTATAAAATCTAGAACCTTGAAGCTGACACTGAATGCCCTCTGAATCAATCCATCCTAATAATTCTTTTAATAATTAATTATTCTCTAATTTGAGTTCATCTCCCAGGTTCTGCCTCAGCCATCCTTCTCTTATGGAAAATATGGTAAAAAGTGAGAATCTTGACCTGCATGTAGTGACTGACTGTGTTCAAACTCATTTTAGAATCCACCAGCTCTACCTCTTTACCTCCGTTAGCTGTGACCAGTTCTAAATCATGTACAAAAATCTGTTTACCCCTATCCATCCTCTATTCCCAGTGGAATTTGCATGCCTGAACTATAAAAGTGAAAAAGTCTGAACTCCTACCTGCTGTGAGGTGTTGCTTTTTACACTCTGGCTTCTGATTTTTTTTAATTTTTAATTTTTTTTTTAATTTTCTTTTTTGCAGCTTTACATCCAACCCATCCTCGTGATAGGAGATAATTTGCAGTGCTACCGATTCGGCATCTCCTCCTCCACAAACGCTCTGGTCATTGGTGCTACAGTCATGGAAGGGTTTTATGTCATCTTTGACAGAGCCCAGAGGAGAGTGGGCTTTGCAGTGAGTCCCTGTGCAGGTAAGAGTAAAAATTCTCAGGATTTGGGGAGCGAGGAAAATCAGAGAAATGCCTTTGCCACTTATCTGTTGGCAGAAAGTGTGGGTACTCCTGCAGTGTGAAGGGTGTGTTTTAAAGAAATTCCAAGTTATTCACATTTCAAAGGAAGGGAAAAAAAAAAAAAAAGAAAACCCAAAAGTGTATTGCAAAATCTTTTGGCATGAAGTGAATCAGCCTCAGCTCTGGGTCTCTGTGCTGGGTTTTTCCCTCTCACAGAGATGATCTTTCTGGGACATCTGTCTGTGTGTTTCCCCAGCAGTTACATCAGATGAGTCCCTGTTTTTAATGCAGCTTCGTTTTGGGCTGGTTCCTGCTCTGAGCTGTGCATAAATGGATTCTTAAACCAACTCTTGCGGTGTGCAGTGAAGTGCCTTACTCACACTTTCCTCTTAATGTAAATTGAGCCTGTTCAGCCCCTCAGAAATTGGCAAAGAAAGAGCTGAGGTGAAAATGGGACTCACATTAAGACTCGTAGCGTTTGTGTTAATTCTAAACAAATTACTTTTCTCATTGTAAGCTGAAAGCCATTAATTCATTAACTAGCTGCTGAGGAGATGTGAGAAAGCTCATCATTTCTGGCTGATTTTACTGTGCTGGTTAAATTTCATGATTTCTCTTCTCCCACCAAGGGTAGCTAAAACCCAAAAGTTTTGGGGTTTCCACCCTTTGTTGTTCAGACATTGCTTTGACATCACAAGAACCTCCAAGTGGGAGAGGAGGGGAAGGATGTGCACCCATATTCAGGTCTCTGTCCCAAACAGGAATGGTCTGTGCCCTGAAAACTATTGTCTCACCTGAGGTTTGCATGAGAAAAGGACTGGGACTCGCAGTGCTTCTTTAAGGTTTTACAGAAGGTAGTTAGGGCTGGAGTTCTTCATGCAATCATAGAGGGGAAAAACAGAGATACTGGCTGAGTTGTAGCTCTAGGGCAGTTTTAAAGCTTCAATTTTTTTAATTTTTTTAATCTCTCCATTGTTAACAAGCTCAGACTTGTTGGCTTTGAGCTCGCTCCCAGAGAAAATCTGGATATTGATATGAGTTGCTTTATGGGCACTTCTGTGAGGTGCCAGGCAGTGACGAAAGACCCATTTTGAATGCATCTGGCAGGAGAGTGTAACTGGACAAATACTGCAGGGCAGGTTTTCCTGCTTTTTGTTCTTCCTGCTGCCTCCTGCCTGCAGCTGGAGCTGCCTCCTGCCCCTGTCCTGCTGCAGCCATCAGTGGGGGAGGAAGGGGCATCAGACAGAACACATGGACCATGCATGGTCAGCAGGGGACACCAGGCAGCTGCAGTGCATTAGAACTGCTCTGCCAGCCCTTCTTTGGTGAGAAAAATAATCTGAGAGCCATAATAACAACACCTTGGTGTTCATACTGCTCCCTGCGAGCACAGTTTGACCACTTGGCGTAGTTCTGCCAAGGAGGAAGAGCTGAGCTTGCTGAGCAGAGCTGCCACTGGAATTTCCATGAGCTTGGACATGTGATTACACCCAGCTGGTGCTCCAAGCCATTTCCTCCTGGTCTCCTTGTGTCAGAGCCCAGGACGTCCCCCTGATGGTCCTGGATGATCCAAGCCCCAACCAGGGGGCTTTGAAGCCCTGGCAGAGGGGTCAGAGACCCTGGCATGCAGCCAAAGACCCCTGTGGCTTTGAGTTTGACCCATGGAACAAGTTACCACCTTTGGATGAAGAATTAAAAGCCACAAAAATTTAGATAGTGTAGTAGTAGTGATCACAGGGTGAAGAGAAAACTTTTGGAGCACTGTACAGGGGGATTTTGAACCTTGTACAGGGGAGTTTGGAATTCTGTGCATGGGGGTCAGGGGTTCCAAGATGGAGGGATTTGGGCGTGCCCTGTCCTTCTTCCTTCTCCCTGGCATCCATGTTCAGGATGATGTTGGCATTCACAGATTGGTTTAGAGTAGAAAGTCGCGGTCTAACATAGGTGATAGGTATTGGGACATTATTGTAAACATAGTATATGTAACTTTTAGTATAAAAGCACCAGCCTTGTGGGCAGGGAGTGTGCCTTGGGCTGACCTGCAGAACAGATCTCGGCAGGCCAGACAGAAAACATTTCAGGTAAAATATAATAAACAACCTTGAGAACGTGAGCTGAAGACTCCTCGACTCTTTCTTCAACAGCTGGGCTGGAAAAAGGGGCTTTTAACACAGCTCAGGGTCACCTCAACCAGAGAAAACCCGAAATCCTTGTCCACGTTTTCTGCGCGTGTCTCACCCAGCATCGCTCGGCTTCCTGAGGGATCAGCCAAGACAAGACGCACGGAGCTGCCAGATTCCACTCACACGAGGCAGATGACATTTTGCTGGATTGTGCTCAGCTATGCTGAGTTTCACTCCTTCTCAGCTTGTGGTTTCCAGATTTAACAGCACTTTGATGAGAGAGCCACGCTGTGAGTGCAGCATGAGGGATGGAGCTTCCCGTGGAGGCCAGCCCTGCCCTCCATAGCAACTGTGTTAATGGCATTTATTTGGAGCCTTCTAGGCAGCTCGTGGGCATAAATTAAACTGAATTACTGGTGGCTCCAATCTTCAGAAACAGAGGAATGTTAAAGACCGTTCAGTGTGGCTTTGCAATGACTTTTGCTTTCTTAGTGTGAACATGAAATTAAACCAAATTGATTTTGTAAGGTGTTAGAGCTGTATGTGATGAATACAAAAATTATGGAAACAGGACTAAAAACCTTAATTTCACTGAACTTCCAGGTTACTTTTCAGACTTGGCTAGAGATGAGAACTGGCTTTTCCCACATTATTCCTTGGACCACTTTCATTCTCCAGGATGTAGCAAGCACAAGGAAAGTTAGATAGCTGCAGGAAGCTCTTTCATTGTAGCAGGAAATTTGTCTTTTCCTCATTACATGAAACCCTTTAAGACTTATTCAGACAAATAATTTTGAGTTGCCTGTTGATAACCTAGTGTGTTTACAGGATGACTAGGACAGGTTTTTGGGTCAGGTCCCTTCTTGAGACAAGATGTTCAGATCAAACAAGTTGGTTTTAGGGAAGCAACCTGGAAATGTTGAAGGCCAGGTTGGATGGGGCTTTGAACAACCTGGTCTAATGGAAAATTCCCTGCTCGTGGCAGGGGGTTTAAACTAGATAATCTTTAAGGTCCCTTTCCAAGCAAAGAAAAAAAAATCAGGAAAAAATAAATAGCCCAGTGGGAAAAGAATTGGGGTTTTGGTAGGCCCTAAGCTGAATGCAAGCCAAAGTAAGTGAAAATGAAATTACATAACAAAAAGCAGCATCTACCAGGGACATTCAGGAACGTTGGACATGAGGAGTTTTACCAGGTGGGTGGCATAGCACTGAAACAGGGTCAGCATCCTCGGGGTTTTACAAGGCCTGGCTGGATAAACCTGCAGCAGAACTGATCTATTGATGCTGGCAGTCCTGCTCTGAGAAGGTTCCTGGTCTAGGTGCCTTCCAGGGGCCCCTTTCAAAATATACTTTACAATTCTATGATGAATTTTATCTAATTTCAGGTTTACTGCTTTTGTAACCACCCAGGTGGGTGAGTTAGCGTGTGTTGAGTTCTACACAAATGTTGGAAAACAACATTTTTCCAGAGGCACCCTTTTTGTCCTGTAATTATCAGCAATGAAGAAAATCTAATTTTTTCAAGGTTATAAAAGTAGTGTAGTTATTCTAGATAACCAGACACCAGATATTCTAAAATAATACATCAAAATCCTCTAATTCAGTTAATGTGTGATATGCTGAGTGTGTGACTGTTAGTTTATGTTCAGGGCTTATTTGAACAATTTAGGCAAATTTCCTCTCAATTTCTCTGGGGGTAGAAGAGTGTGAGGGAAAACTTTTTTCCCTTTTGGAGGGAAGAAAGCAGAGGCTGTGCTGCTATCAAGCATTCTCAAAATGCAATTTAAAATGTCAGCCACTATGGCAACAGCTTTGTGTTGTCTTCTTTAATAGGAGTAATTATTGTTCTGGAGCCAAATAATGAGTAATTAGAGACTGTTTATTTTCAAAGCTATTTCCAAGGTGGAAAATTGTACTGCTTTTTCTTTTCCCCCCACTTCTCCAAAATACAGCTAAGTAATGATATTTAGGCCTTGCATTTGAAATTGGTGTTAAATGTGGTCGAGTTTGGTGTTGCTGCAGAACTTCATAGAGACAAACCAATGGTGTGAGAAGGTGAGATGTCCAGAAGAAATAATTGCATAAGAAATAATTGCAAAGTGCAATCCTGGGGCTCTGGACAAAAAGGATTTCTTCCACAGACCTTGTAGGCAGAATTTTACCATCTAATGAGTTTGGAGAGTGGGTGTTTGGTTATTCACCAGTGCCAGGGTCCTCGTGGGTGCAGCCTCGGGTGCCCCCAGTTTGCTCTCACTGCATATTCCTGCTAAAGGAGTCTTCCCACTCACAGGGGTGGAGAAAGGGTTGGTTCAGATGAGTGATTCCACAGAAAATTCCTTGTTTGGGCATTTTGTTTGTTGTGAAGGTTGGTTTCCCATCTGATCTGTGAGTTGCAGCCTCCCATTCCCTCCACCAACACGAACGGGGCTGTGAGGGACAGGAGTGAGGGTGCAGGATTGCCCCTTTCAACACCAGCCTACAATTAAATTGAATTAAGTCCAACAGAACCTAAATCTCAAAATAATACAATGTCTTATGAGGCCAGGGACTGAATAACGACCAAAATCTGTGCAGATAAAGCAACCAACCTGTCCTGCATTTTTTTTTTTAAACCTGAAGAACCTTAAAGGTCACCTTTGCAAAATCCAGGCTCCCTTCTCCATTCCAAGAGGGTAGTTTATGGTAATCTCTTTAAATGTGGTTTCAGCAGTTGTGACTAAGACATGTGAAAATAAGAGATATAGTTTTTAGTAGATGGGATCACTTCCAATCAGGCAAGAGTGTGCCTGTATGTAAAATGTGTGAGAAATAGACAGGACAGTTAAAACTGGGGCCTTCATGAAAAAATATTCAGATGTGTCGTGAAAGTGGCTGACTATAGAGAAGCAAATTATGACTGCTTCTTGCCTTAACTTTGTCATCGTTTTTTGAGTTGCTGGGTTAGTTCTCCTGGCCCAGGACTGTTGCTTCTTCACGTCCCTGTTCCTCACTCCTGACTCTGACCTTCCTCTCCTCCACTCCCCTTTTGTGGACATCTGTCACCCACCTCCCCTTCCTTCGGGATTTTCACCCACAAGAGTGTCTGTGTTGCTTTCCTCACTGCACCTTGTGTTTAGGATAAAGTCCTTTCAGGTATCTGTGAAGCTGATGAACCTTCCTGCTGCTCCCTAAGAAGACAGCAAACACAGAAGATCAAAGCATCACCTTGAGGTGCTTTTCCAGTTGTTGGAAATGCTGGAAACAAGCGAAAAACTGCCCAGGCCTTGCCCTACACCAGGGTGGATGTTGTAGGATATTTAAATAGATATTTTTGAAAGATTAGTGCAGAGGTAAAAAAGTGATCCAGTGGTTTGGGCTTTGACTGATTGAAATGTCTGTCTTCTCCTAGAAAGCCTGTGGAGATGTGGGAGAGTCACAGTTGCTTTATGCTTCAGAGTCCTTTTCTATAAACACAGGATTCTTGCATTTTGTCTCGGTTTGAACAGACAGGTGCCTGCTAAGGAAGGCAGCAGCCTCCCCTGAAATGGAAAATGTAAACCTCCTCCCTTTGAAAATTTTGAGATTAAGGGGCTCTCAAGCAAAGATATGGGAATAGGAATAACAGTTCTTTACTAGGAAAACTAAAAATGCAGTCTTACAAAGAAAAAAAACAAAACAAAACTACTGCCAGAGTGAGAACATGCCCTGTCCCCCTGTGTGTCAGGGTGGTGGCACAGTCCCATCCCATGGGGGCTCAGCCCTCCTGCAGTGCCAGCTGTGGTTCTGCTGGAGCAGGGATCCTGCACAAGGCTGGAGTTTTCCTCTGAAGCTCCAGGGCTGCTGGAGATGGGCCTGCTCTTCCTCTGGGAATGCAGGGCAGGAGAAAGCTGCTCCTCTGGGAATGCAGTGGGCAAAGGCTGCTGTGCTGTTCCAGGCTCAGATTGTATCCAGGTAGGAATGCTTGGCTCCTCCCCTGGGCGGAGCATCTCCCCATGGGATGATGGAATTTGATCAGCCATGCACGGACACTCCCTGGTTGTGGACAGCAGAGATCTCCTGGAGGGAGGGTTGGCTGTGGGAGAGATAAAGAAAAAACTGCCAAAAGAACAGCAGAGAACTGCCCCACAGATAGGAATAGAACACACACCCCCATTTCCAACCTAGGACACGCTTTTATTGCAGTGAGAAATGTGGTAAAACACGAGTGTGCCGAGATGCGTGATGACAGAGGGAGAGGGATATACAAGCACTTTTTAACTGGTGTCTGCAGACCTGATCCTTTCCCTTCTGTCCCTCCCCAGAAGCGGACGGCTCGCCCGTCTCTGAGATCGAGGGCCCTTTCACCACAGCAGACGTGGCCAGCAACTGCGTCTCCAGCGTCTCCTTCCACGAGCCCGTGCTCTGGATTGCCTCCTACGCCCTGATGAGCCTGTGTGGGATCATCCTGCTGGTGCTGATGGTGCTGCTGCTCATCCCACCGCGCTGCCAACACCGCTACACGGACAACGACGTGGTCAACGACGAGTCCTCCCTCGTGCGCCACCGGTGGAAATGAGAGGCTGGATCCCAAAAAACAGACTTAAAAACCAAGGACAAAGAGCTCTGCCAAGGGGAAGAAGCCAATGCCTCCTCAGTCCCTTCTACGTTCCTACAAAACGCTGTTGAAAATCCCACCAAATACCCTGCGTCGTGACTTTTATAGCTTTATTTTCTAACACCGGTTCTGAAACAAAGCACTGTTAACCACCTCTGAAGTGCTACGGTACTGGATTTGCTACTGCAGTGCAATGAGCCTTTATGCTCTCTACAGTACCTTCTTTAAAAAAAAAAAAAAATGAAAACAAGTTTAAAAAAAAAAGATAAAAAACCACACCGTGATGTTCTTCCACTGTCTGAACAAAATTGTCCATCTCTCTTTCACAAAAAAAAAGGAGCTGTCAGTATTTTCTAACTAATTGAGCCCTGACTGTAGAAAAAGAGAAAAAAAGTAATAATCTTTCTTATTAATTGCATTAAATGAATACTGCTTTCTGTTTACATCAGTTTATTTGAAACTGTGCTTATGGTGTGGGGGAGGGAGAAAAGTCAGACTTAAGCAGCAGAGAAAAAAGCCAGGGAGATCAAGAAGAAATGTTGGTTTGTGGTTTCTTTCCCTCAAGATCTCTGCTGCCACTTGAGAGGGTCGCCCTCCTTGAGAGCTGTAACAAAATGTAGTCCAAGGTGGTGAAAACTGGGAAACAAACTTGTTCAGCCTTAGAGTAAAACAAGACTACCTCTCTTAATTTACAAGGATGCTACCACTGGTGAGTGTGTGGATTAGAACTGGTCTTGAAGCACAAAAGATGCTCCATACAACCAAATGGAACTACTTGGCTTTGAATTTTTTGGGATTTTATAAAAATCTATACTTCATGATTTTCCACTTTGGTGCACAGAAAAAAAAAAAAAAGAAAGAAAAAAAAAAAAAAGAAACCTTTTCATTTCTCCCCCTTGTGTGGGGTTTTGTTGGTTTTTTCTGAGTTTGAGATTTAGAAAAGGCTGATCTGCATATGTATGGACAGACAAGACAGCAAGGTCTGTGTTCTGCTGTACTTCCAGAGAGAGTGTAAAAGAAAGAAAACAAAATAAGAACAACAACTTTTTTGTTTGTTTTAATTTGGCTGAGCTCAGCAACCTAGACATTCAAAGGAGAAGTACCTGTCTTTATGGACAGGCTGTGAAGTGAAAGTCTTTTTGCTGGCTTGTTTTTCAGCTTGAGGTGTTCAGTTTGGCATCAATCATCAAATGAAAAGTGTGTGTGTCCTGCCTGGCTGAAAACAAACCCGTGGTGGGACTGGAAACAATAGTGGAGGAGAGCAGGGGAGGATCTATTTGACCAGGCTTCCATTCTGCAAGAGCAGATCATCATGCTGAGGTCAGAACAAGGTGTTTTCTTTGCAGATAGGACAATTTTTCTTTTCTCTAGTTGCAGGCTTCTCTGTAACGGTGGCCTAAGTGTTTGAATTGGAAAGAGAAACAGTGCAAGGCTGAGGATTTTTTTATATGTAAAAAAAAAAAGGAAAAAATACTCCATTTTGATAGCAGAGCAGTTTGCATATCTGTATGGGAAATGAGGAAATAAAAAAATTTCTCTGAATTTCTCAGTCCCTTGCCTAGACAATTTTCTGCCCAAAATCCCTTCATATAGCTCTGTGATTCACACTGCCTCTGCATCTGACTCTGCATGGAATGTGAGGAAAGATTTCTTTTTTTTTTCAGGAAAGGTGCATTTACAGAGGTGCACGTTGTGTGTGTGAAAATAAAACACTGTGGGGTTGTTTTTTTTTTAACTAACTTATGTCTTTCATGTCGTAACTGGAAGTGCCTGTGGTTTTCTTTTCAATTCTTGCACTTTCAGATTGCTTGGCTCAGTAGAGTGAAATAATTGATGCTGTGATCCAACGTCTGAAAATGATTTCTTGTGGAATTTGAAGTTGGAAACAGGAAGGAATTTTGAGATTGTCTCCTTCTTCCTCTGCCTCTTCATTTCTAAGAGGAGAAAAATTGTGAATTACATTAAATAAGCCATAGAGCTTAACTGTTTTCTCAGTGTTCTATTTTCCATATCTCTTTATTAATATCTTTTAATTACGAGTTCCACGTCGTCCTCCTGGCTTTGGTTTTAAACATAACAAATCACTTCAGAGTTGTATTCCTCCTTTTTCTACAGTGTGGCAATAGAAGTTATGCTTCTGTCACTTGTTTCAAACAGAAACAAGTTTGGATTTTGGATGGGTAGTGTTAAACAATAAACTCTCAATTCAGAAAGTGAAAGCAACTTGCATTCTCTTAAAAAGTTTCATCACTGCTCCCCCGACCTCAGAACCTCCTATCTCCTCACCACAAAGAGTTTTAGGAAGGAATTTATTGGGAAAGGTTCTGAGTGGGCTTTTTTTATGAGATTTCTTCTGAGTTGGTGAACAGAACAGTCTTCTTAGTGAACTGGATTTCATATAAAAGATTTGAAGTATTACCCTTTCCCTTTGAATAACCTTGGTCAAGATATTTTAAGGGAAACACTTGAATTAAGAGGAGCAATAACCAAGTAGAAATACTGCTATATTCTTGAGTTTTCCTGGCATTCCTTCACACTAAAAACGTGTCTTGTAGTAAAATTTCTGTGAGTGGCACCTGTGAGCAGTACAAACTTCATCTGGGCTTGTAAATTGATACTTACAGTGGCAGAAATTCAGGTGAGCATTGCTTTGTTGCTCTGGCAACAAGGAGAGCAATGGAAACACTTGAGGGTTCATTTTTAGCCTACAACACATTAAGAAAAATAATGCTCTCGAGCAGTTTTGTATGGAAGATGAAACACAGTGATAGACTACACTATAACCAAGTGCAGTCACTTGGTAACTCAAAATGATCTATTTCCCTGATATATTTCAAAAAATATATATGATGTGAGATGTATTATGTTCCTGTTAACCAGCTTCAGGTCTAAGATGAACCACACCTTAAGGGGAAAAACAAAACCCAAAAAAAAGGAGAGGAGTGAAAAAAACCCATAGCATTGAATAAAGATGATACAGAAAAATATCCTTTATTTGTTATGAAAGACAGGATGCTTCAAATCACAGCACTCCAAACCATCCCTTGTAAGAAATACCAATATTTCTTGCTGACCCAGCTCTCCCCTGATGGGAATGCAACACCACGTCCCAGCAAAGTGTCAGAAGGCTGCATTCCCCTGGCTGCAGCCTCGCAGGTAATTCGAAACCATCGGTGCCATCGCCAGGGATTGGAGGGGGTGTGGTTGGAGTTCCAGGGGTTAAATTTGAGCCCAGCCCTGGGAATAGGTTAATTCTATCCCGCTGCTTTTGCAAGTTTTAGAAATATTATCGTGGGTTTTTTGGAGCAATTTAAATGCTAAGGGAAATAGATGGAGCATTTTAATAAGGCTTTTGTTCAGGTGCTGTAAAAGAAGTTAGGTGGAGGGGATTGTTCCGTTTTTAAGGTGAAGGATTGTGTTTAGGATGTGCATGTTGAATCAACCTAAATGCAATATATCAAGGGGTTTTGGTATCTCCTGTTGTCAACAGCTGTAAAATTCATCAGCGAAAATCAACCAATGAGTTGATCCAGTTGCTTGCTGTGTATTGGCTGGCTTTGTCTTACTGAAGGATGAGCCATTTGTCTACCAAGCTTTCCTTTTAAATATTAAAAGGCTTGTGAGAGTTGCGTGGCGCTGCACATTTCCAGAGAGAGAGAGAGAGATATCCCTAAATTGTCCACTATTAAAAAAGGATTGTGCTGCTGGAAGTTTCTTTGATATTTGGCTTGTGAGAGTTGCATGGTGCTGCACATTTCCAGAGAGAGAGAGAGAGATCCCTAAAGTGTCCACTATTAAAAAAGGATTGCGCTGCTGGAAGTTTCTTTGATTTTCGTAGGGGTTTCCAACAACTGGGCTGGTGTTGGCTGTCACATCCTCATCTCAGACACAAATGGAAATAGCAGTACCAGTGATGTAATGAAAGGTGTTGGTACAGTGACCTACGGAGGTGCAATTAAAAGAAATGACAGGATGCCTTTAACTTTATTAAAAATTCCAAGAGCATAACAGATTGATTCTTTTCAGAAAAGGCTGTACTTCTTACCAAGACATTAGCTCCTGTCAAACTTGACTCTCTGACTGATAAATTGTTCATTTTTGGCTGCTGAAGTCCTTGCTGCTGTTGAGAGAAGTGAAGACAGATTGGTAACGGGATAGGAGCAATCTTCTGAGCCAGTTAGATTTGCTGGCTTTTGAGGCTTAATTAGGTGCTAATCCAGGCTTGGGAGTAATCCAGCATCCTGGTTATGGGTCTTTGGGAATGCTAGCAGAAATACTTGCCTTCAGCCAAACCCCTGGGTGAGGTGGATCCAAAACACAAAAGCCACAGGGAGACAGCAGCGGCTGCAGGTGCAACATCCGATAGTCCCCGTTTCCTTTGGCAAGGCTCCACCTGCCTGAAGATTTTGGAAACCAGCACTCCAAGGTGCCTTTTGGTGCTACTGGGAATTATCCCCTCCCAGGTAAACACAGGACACAATCATCTTTAGGGAGGATCCTTGCCCAGCTGCTGAATATTCCCCTCTCCATGTAACTCAGTGCTGTTTCTCGCCTCCAGTGGCATTTGAAAAGGAAAGGACAGGAAATTATAAAACATGTTGGCATCAATGACTGTGCAGTATAAGAATGGTTTGTATCTGGCTGGTTCTTTGTGGTCAGGTAGTCTTTGAAATACTGGGAATTTTCGATTAGACTGTGAAGGCACCAGCAGAATTTCTTTTGAGCTAGCCAGATAGTAAAACAAAAGGTAATTTTTGGAATTTAAAAAGATGTAGCTCTCAATAAGTGCTTTCTTCCCCTTCTATTTTTTTTTTAATTGATAGCAATCACTTAAACATATTTTAGCATAGTTGCAGTCCTACTAATTTGCTGGTAGTAAATCTGATTTTTCTGATTTGTCTTCTAGGCCATTCACCCCTTCTCATTCCCCCCCAAAAAAAGTTGCTAAAAGATTAAGGTCTCTGTTTTCCAGGTTTAGCTTTCTAACAAAAGGTATGTTTTTCTTGTTTACCATTCACAGTAATTTTAAAGCAGTTCCTTAATGCTTTAAAAATTAACTGTAGGCTGAAAATACTCACAGTGCCATTAGGAGAAGATCTGGAGCCAGAACTTTACCTGTGCCAATGGTCCCTGGATTTTGCTGTGTGCCAAGAGTTCCTTTGTGCATTTGACAATGATCCCTGGACTTCTTTCACATCCCACTAGGAAATATGCCCTGCTCCTGTATATTCTCCTTTTTCTCCATCCTCAGGAAGTACAGAGGTGGAGAGGAGAACCACAAGGAGCTGTGAGAGCTCCATCCATGACATTTTTTGTCCTAAAAACTCCAGCTGAGCAACTGAGTTTGCTCTGATTTTACAGCAATGTGTATTTAGGCAAAACACTTGAATAAAGGACATTGTAACAATCCTCTCATCCTGTCCCCCTCTGATGAGGGGAAGTTTTCACAGGGACAAGTCAAACCTGCAAAGGGCATGTTTATTCCTGTGTTTTCAGAGAGGGATTATAGAGCTGAATGTTTAAATGGCTGTATTTGCAGCATGGTTGTCCTTTGCAAAATTGTGTGGTAAAAAAAAAAAAAAAAAAAAAAAACCCAAAAAAAAAAAACAGAGTTGAGAATGTTTAGAGGTAATAAAAATACAACTAACAATTTCTTGATAGCACAAAGGCGTGGATTACTGCAATATGTGCTGGAAAAAAATTCCTTTGGTAGCCAATACTCTGTGTGTGCATAAACTATACAAAGCTCAGTGTTTAAGAATTACACCTGAAAACAGGCAGTTCACATTCTTATTGCAAATTTTATATGGAGATGCAGAGATCTTTTAAGGATTTTTACACTACAATAACTGTTATGTTATTCAGGAAGTGTGGAAAAGATGTCACCTTTAAGGTCAACTTACAGAAGTATTTATTCACCTGTTGTTTTGTTTTGTTTTTATTAGACAATGTTTTTAACATTGACTGAAAAGAAAATGGGATCAAACTTTGGAACAAAGGGGTACAGTCTTTCTAATTCAATCTTCAGGTTATGTTAGGATCTCTATCCCACTTACTGTCAAGCCTCATTACTCAATTTTCCAAAAACTGACACTTTGTACTTTCAGGTCTTGTCATTTTCAGATAAACACTATGTTAAAAAAATCAGATTTTATGCTGCGCAAAATAAATGATTAATTCTTTCAACCTATTCTGTGTGTCTTTTAAAATCCTGTTAAGAAGAACTTCAAAGCTGATCAATTGTATCCTCCAAATTCCTCCTGTGACTCTCAATTACAACTTCTGGCTGTGTAGATCCCATCTGACCCTGGCAGGAGGGGGAGGCAGCCAAGTTTACCTCCGAGGTGATTTTTTCCTGCTTATTCCCGAATTACAGATATTCCTGCTTCAACTTTTCATTTCAGTACGGGGCAGAACCGAGCAGATAAAGCATGAAGCTGAGAAGGTGGAGCTGCTGGTGGTTTCGGGTCGTACTTGGGGCTGTTCCTGCCCTGGGATGCGGATGGGGAAGGGACACAAATCCCTGTCCCTGTCCCCAGTCCCTGCTCCGCGCTCTTTCCTCGCCAGATGGAGCCCAAGCGGCGTTTTCCAACTCTTGGAAACCTGATTTAGATTTTATACGTTTCAGATCCTGTGCTGCTTCAGTGTGTATTTCTGAGCTTCATATTAGGGGATGGTGAGCTCTCTGCACAGAGCAGGGAGACAAAACAATTCCTGCTCCAGCTGGGCACCAAGGACAAATGATCCAAATCTCAGCCCAAGAGCACAAACCCCGTGGGCTGCAGAGAGAAAAACAAGCAGGATGGGAGTGCAGGGGCTGAGCTGGAATTGGACACTGAACTGCAATGTGCACATGGAGCAGAGCTGATCCCAGGGAGAGACCCCGGGAGCGCTCGTGCATTTTGGGGCCATTTGGGTTCATCTTGGGTGCAGCCCTGGCTGGGCTCTTGTGCTGCCCAAGGTGCATCCATGGAGGAGATCCTTTGGATAAATCCCTGCTTTATTCTTTAGCTTTGTCCAGCCTCTGCTCTAGGGCAGCCTGCACAAGGCATCATGCCCTTTCAGCATTTTCTGGTTTTTTGCCTGAATTCCCTTGAAAGTTCCTTTCATTTTCTTTTTTGAATATCCAACCTCAAAGGTCCTTAGC